AGCGCAGGAGAAAAAGCCCACATCTGACCCAGATTCAATCCCATTCACATGCGAGTCCCCTGAGTGCAGAGCCAAGAGTAAATCCTGAGCAACCCACCAGGTGTGGCCCCGAAACCAAAAGGAAAAAACAGCCGGACAAAGAATACTTGAAGACAAGATCTTCTGTTCCTCTGTGCGAGGGAGACAAACCACCTTCAGAATTAGTTTATGTTTAATACAAAGGAAGGAACTTGCCCCTCAAAAGCTGCACATGAGGAACAAATTTTTTCTTTTTGGGTCACGCCTGATGATGCCCAGGGTTTGCTTCTGGCTTATGCACTCAGGAATTACTCCTGGCAGTGCTCAGGGACCATATGGGATTCTGGGAATCGAACCTGGGTCAGCCTTGTGCAAGGCAAACACCCTACCCGCTGTGCTATTGCTCCAGCCCCGAGGGAAAAATTATTAAGGATAAGGTTAAACCTCCAGAAGAAACAGCTTACCTTTTCTGAGGCACCAGCCCCCAACTTTACATTTTAAACTTTATTTTTAAATGTCATCAGCCTGTGGAAGAGAAAGTATCAACTGCTCTTGAGGATGTTTGAAATACCTGGTGGTTCTCCCACCGATGGCTCTAGACCAGTGTTCTTCAACCTTTCTGCCCCTGCAGACCAGCTTGCCTCTGTGGACAGGTAGCTGAAGACCATTGCTCTAGTGGTCACACAGGTTTCTGGGACATAGCATTGGGGTTCCAGTATATACACTTAGGGAACAAGAAAACCTTAATGCTTTAAACATTTTATTCTTAACAGACAGCTGTGGCCTTATTATCATAAATCATGTTTTAGATCATTAAAAATATAGGCCCTCACTATTAGAAAAAATTCAAGTTCAAGACAAATTCAAAACTGTGTCTTAAAATATTTTTTGGATAGACATTAGCTTGACATGTTTAACCCAGCAGTGAACTTTCATACACTTCTATTGATTTCGGAAGAAATCTAACTTTCCACACCCTTTATAATTTCAAGACTGTTTCCTTCAAAGAGAGGCAAGTTATTTTTTCATGCTAACTACTCAGTGGGGTTGCTGCTTTTAAAACCTGTTTGCTTCCATTCAGACTGCAATTCAGCCAACCAAGTTGAGCCTGAAAAGGATTCTTTTGTTCCTTTGTCATGTCCAACCTCATGCCTTATATAAGCCAGGAAGGGCTTCTGAGGTTGAATTGTTCTAACTCTGCTGCCAGGTACACCCCCTGCCGCTGTGTCCTGAGTTCCAGTCACAATAACCTTATGGAAATCAGCATAGGACTAAGGTCCTTCCTCCCCACCCCCCAGACTGGACTATGCAGTCACAAAAGCTTCCCAAGGCAGCCAATTTCCCCTGTATAATTCCCTTTTAAACTATTCGTATTTGAAAATTGGACTTTGCAAAACTGCAACTGTTCCTCTGGGTACAGGTCTCAGGCTTTTTTGTCTTTTGCAGAGGGTGACAGCTTCTATTTTCTAGTCCACTGCCCTGCCCAGAAGTTTAGCTGGCGACCCCAGTGGAAACATTTTATTCATAACAGATTGCTGTTGTCTTATCACCACATATGTTTTAGGCAGAGGTCAGCTCAGATTTACATTTTAGGAAGATGCTTTTTAGGGGAGAGGTTCTCTTTGCAGGAAAATGTATACAAATGAAAGTTCCTGGCTTCCTTTCAGGAAAAGCAAAGGTCAAGCCTTCTGCTTGGCTGGGCCATCCAAGCAGTCTGGGTACAGTGACCTCCCTTGGTCTAGGAAGCCCAGGACTGACACAGCAACAGACGGTGGTGTGTGGCCTACTTACCTTGAGAGGGACTGATTGTCTAGTTCCTCGGTGGAATCACTTATACTGATCCAAGACCCAAGGCTTCCTATACCTAAAGCAAACTAGAAGAGCATGCAGGAAACGGAAATGGCTGTGTGGCATCTCTCACAGCAGATGAGGTGCTCATGCTTGAGTCTCAGCAGGCCTGGGGACAGGTACATGCACATCTTCCTGTCCTGTTGAAAACAAGCCAGTGCCCTGCAGCAGGCCCCAGACCTGAAGGTGTGGTGGGCCAAGCACACACCAGCCCATCTGCCCCTGACCCCTGTAGTCCCCACTAGCCCTCCCCACCTCAGCACAGGCTGTCATTTTCGGGGGTGATTTAGAGCCCATTTGCTTCTCTGGATATGGAACCCAGCTTCTCAATGACAGTACACTCTGGAAATAAGTCAATGTTGCCACTCCAGCAGTTAAGAACGATTTCCATTAGGGAAGAGCTAAAATAGTGTCTAAAATACAAATTCCCCAAATCACAGATCTGTTCTTTTTTTTTTTTCTTTTTGGATTTTTGGGTTACACCCAGCAATGCACAGGGGTACTCCTGACTTTGCACTTAGGAATTACTCCTGGCAGTGCTCAGGGGACCAAATGGGATGCTAAGAACCAAACCCAGGTCGGCCGCGTGCAAGGCAACACCCTACCCACTGAACTATCGCTCCAGCCCCCAGATCTGTTCTTTAAGTGAATCTTGAACAAAAATTCAGCTTAAAGAATTAAATGGGGGGCTGGAGCAATAGCACAGCGGGTAGGGCGTCTGCCTTGCATGCAGCCGACCCAGGTTCAATTCCCAGCATCCTATGGTCCCCTGAGCACTGCCAGGAGTAATTCCTGAGTGCAGAACCAGGAGTAACCCCTGAGCATCGCCAGGTATGACCCAAAAAGCAAAAAAAAAAAAAAAAAAAAAAAACAAAACACAACCTATAAGGACTTGGCAGCACAGCATAGGTTGAGTGTCAGAGGCTTTCTGAATGGGCCCTCACTGCATGGTGGCCCCAGTCACAAAGGGAACTCCTCAGTTTCTTCATATAGAAAGTAAAAATGGCTATCAGAATTGCATAGATTCACAGATGTGAAGTCCCCACATAGAGATGTCTTCAATAAATATTTTACTTACCTTAAAAGTTATTTAGATGGTTGCCCTCCGCCCCCCCCCCACACACACCCATGATGAATTGCCTAGAAAATACTTAATTTTCTACTGAATAGCTTATTTATTGACAAAAGTAATGGGCATTTTAGTATATACCTTTACTGCAACTGCAAAGACATTCTAGTATTTATCCTATACAGTTGTGCCTTTTTATTTCTATCTTCCTGATAAAAGATGTAAGTTGCTCACAGAGCTTCTGATAGCTTTAGTTGATGACCGCATCTCATGTCCCCAGCTCCTAAGTATTATAACTCCTCTTTTCCCAGCTGACTCCCCAACCCCTGGCCCAGGGTCATCTCTATAACAGACCCTCAGTGCATCTGATGTTTCTTTAGTCATATAAGAAAAGGCCACATGGAACCCAGCTTCTCAGTGACAGTACTTAAAACCATACAAACATATTGTCTTCTAGTTCTGGAGGCTAAAAGCTCAACATCAGTTTCACCAGGTGAGAATCAAGGTACCCTCCTCAGATGCTCTACCAAGGAAAAATTTGTTCCTCTCCTCTTTTAGGTCCTGGTGGCCACTAGCAGTCTTTTGTGATCACAATGCTTCAGTCTCTCCCTCTGTTTTTATAACATCTCTTTTGTGCAATCAAATTTTCCTTTCTCTCATATGAATACATATGACTCGGGTTATCAAGCTCCAAGACAATCTTCTGCATGTCTAGATCCAAATTCACATCTGCAAGATCCCTTCTTGACCTTAAAACATACCATTTACAATTCCCATGATTAAGATTTGTTTTCTCTGACTGGCTATTATTTACTGAAGGGTATTAAGTGGAGCGATAGCACAGCGGGTAGGGCGTTCGCCTTACAAGCGGCCAACATGGCCGACCCGAGTTCGATTCCTCCACCCCTCTCGGAGAGCCCGGCAAGCTACCGAGAGTATTCGATATGCCACACACAGTAACAACAAAGTCTCCAATGGAGACGTTACTGGGCCCGCTCGAGCAAATCGACGATCAACGGGAGGGCCTTTACCTTACCTTTACCTTATTAAGTGAAATACCACCTCAGGGTCTTGAGCACAGAAATGGTAGATCAGGAGGCAGTGGATGGTGGTGCAGCCTCCCACTGGTTGAGAGTCCTCCCTAACCCAGTCTCCCAGCTGCCAGCCTCTCTGCCTCTGCCTTCCTCCCTGCATTCATTGGCGAACCTTGAAAAATCAATTCTGGGTCTTCAGTTTTCCGGGGCCATATATATACCCTCCCCTCAATCCCCAAATCCTCCACTGTTATTTTATAAATAGAAACACACAATTCTAAAGACACCATAACCCAGGTATTTTAAACAAACAAAAAAATAATTTGCCTTTCTTAAATTTGGAATTTCAACAAAACTTAATAAACAAGCACAACATATATCTATGGCAGCACCATTCCCAAGGAAATTCACTTCTTTTAATGAAATGTAACCTCCTGAATCAAAATGCTAATAAAGGTAGCAAGACATGAGTGGCAATAAGGAGAGAGTAATGAAAAATCTTTCAATTCCACTAAAAACTACTGCAGTTCCCAATACTGGGAATTACCAGGTTCCCAGTAAAGAAAGCAAGGCTCTTTTCTAGCTATAACCAAAAAATCAGTTTTACTGCTTGCTTTTTTTGAAAATTTTTTAATCCCCAAAAGTAACATTTATTCATTTACTTCCTTCCAAATGTGCTGAGGATATAATTCAGTTACAGGTTGAGGATATAATTTAGTGGTAAAGCACTTGCCTTGCAGATGTTAGGTCCTGGGTTTGATTCTTGACACCACCATAGATGTCATCACGTCCGCCCATTGTTCTCTCCATCGTGAGACTTGTTGTTACTGTGTTTGGCATATTGAATACATCACGGGGAGCTTGCCAGGCTTTGCCGCGTGGGTGAGACACTCTCGGGTAGCTTGCCGGGCTCTCCAAGAGGGGTGTAGGAATCGAACTCAGGTCGGCCATGTTGGCTGCTTGCAAGGCAAATGCCCTACCCACAGTGCTATCACTCCAGCCCACCACCATAGATAAAATAGTAAAAGCCATTCAAATGTGACCTTTTATTTAAAGCAATAACTGTCGGCAAAAACAAACACCAATGGCTCCTGGCAGGACATCAAAGTATTTTGCTGAACTAAACGCAGCAAAAATGCATTTCCTTTTGTTTACACATCACAATGTCAGTGACACAGCGATTCCATTTCTGGATTCAATGCCAATGCAACAGGCAAACACTTTCACAAGCCACTAGACCATTTGCAAAACCATATTACAAGCTATTTAGAACCATAAGGAAATGAACATGAATACTTCCGGGTCTCCTTTTCACAACAGTGATTCAATACATTCCACTGTAATATTACAGACCCAGCACTTCCAGGATCCAGGCCCTCCTGGGCTACTCAAGTTGATCATGTGCTATTGAACAGGGGCCTGCTTGAAAGAGTCTCGGGGTCTCTCAGTGAGTGGGGTTGCAGAACAGGGGACACTCACAGATGCCAATGGGGTGAATGGACTGTCTTTGGTTCTGCAGACAACATAACCTTAGGTTGTCTCTAAATCATATACACCTGGGCTCGGGAATGCAGATGCCCAGAGGGTTCGGAGGTGTGACAAAGTTGAAGGTCGTGGCCTCCCCACCACTGCTGCGGCAGTTCACCTGTGCCTTCATCATCACTGGAGCCAGCAGTTCTTCAACACAAGAGCCCAGGCAGAGAGGCTTCTGTGGAGACCCCCCCGGCAGTGCCTTTTCCTCTTGTCACCTTAGCCCCAGATGACCTGCACTAGAGCCGTTTCTGAAGTTTTCTGGAGACAATGCTTGACATTTCCATTCGGTGACTGTCAATTTTTTGAGAAAATGGAATTTGTTCATGAGAGACCAAGAAGTAACAGAAGAGTTCAGATTTTTCACACGGGGCTCTGAGTTTTCTTTTCAATGTCACTATGGAGCCAAACCCAAGTCCAAGGGCAAGGTGACAGGAAATGATAGTTCATGGGAGCCACAGTGAGGACTTGGGCCTGTAAAAGCAGGAGTTTCCAGGAGCACAGTGGCCGTGCTACTCGCCTTCAAAGGGTCTGAAGGTGACCCAAGTCAAGGTCCTTCCACATGGAGGCAGGTGAAGGAACCTGTGCAGCTGCCGAGGGCCCAGGAGAACACCAGTGCTCGTGGTGGCATGAGACTCCGTTTATTTAGTACTTGACACGTGGTGTACATGTATGACTCTGTATAGACATTTAGTACATTTAAGATCCACAGCCAGTCCACTGCCTGCGCCACTTTCTGCAGACACTGTGGAGCTTCCCCACTCCGGGAAGCTGGTGTGGCGCACAGACCCGGCAGTGGAACAAGTCAGTCGCTCTCAGCCCAAAGCAACTAAGAGAGGGACCCGGGCTGCCGAGGACTGCCCTCACGCAGAGAAGGTCTCGGGAGCCAGGCAGCACAGCCAGCTGGCACGACGGAGGAAGCAGACGGGGGAGGTCCCCGGTGAGCCAAGTCATTGCACAGCAGGGGACACGGCCACAAGGGGACACCCCCTTTCAGAACTTTCCCATGTCCACATAGAGTCTCCCCTGTCCCCCACCCCCACCCCTCACTGGAGCTCGGTTTCTGCTCGGACGTGCATCTCAGGGACACCTGCAGGTCACAGCTGCAACTCAGAGGTGCCAACCAGGCCCAGAGCTCTGGCTTCTTCCGGAGTCAGGCCACTCTTGAGGGTTCTTCGTACTGCAGCAGTCGCAGGTCAAGACAAGGCAAGAGAAGAGAAGGAGGCATTAGCATGTGGCATGCAGCACCAGGAATCCAGCCCCCCATGGACTCCCAGAGGCCCAGGGAGATCACCGTGCTCTGACCCTCTTACTTATGCCAGCGATTCCCTGGATCGGGATGGGAACTAGTCTCAGGGCTGCAAGAGGCAGGCCATGAGAGCATGAACCTGGAGAGCCCAAGAGGAGAGGGAGAGAGGGGAGAGTCTGTCCTCGCAAGCTTTCTGGGGAGGCAAGTGGCAAGGCGAGAGCTCAGCTCGGACCAGCCTGAGGAGTGGGGTCTGAGCTGGAAGAGGAATTATGGGGTGTGGGAAAATTCAAGTTCAGGGATGCAAATCAGGGCTCACCCCACAAACCTGCAGAAGGAGACACGATGCTGGGGACAGACCGAAGCACACACAGCCCCAGTGCGCAAGACAGTAAGAGAAACCAGGACAAGGGGAGCAGTCAGATAATTCTCTAGAAACATCTTTACCTCAACGTAATCAAAAGGTGGTGTGGGAGAGGGAGAGGGAGAGGGAGAGAGGGAGAGAGAGAGGGAGAAGGAGAGGAAGAGGAAGAAAGAGGGGGGAGGGAGAGGAAGAGGAGAGAGAGAGAGAGAGAGAGAGAGAGAGAGAGAGAGAGAGAGAGAGAGTGTATCTGCCATAGAGGCAGGCTGAAGAGAGTGGGTAGTGATGGGAGGGAAACTGGGGACACTGGTGCTGGGAAGTGTATACTGGCGGAGGGATGGGTGTTGGAATACTGTATGACTGAAAGAAACCTAATCATAAACAGATTTGTAAGGGCCTATTTCACAGTGATTCAATAAATTAAATAAAGGTGGTAGGAGAGAATAACCAGTGATTCCTTGTAGACTAGTGCCAAACTTCTCTTGGATAGAGCCTGTGAATACTCTTGGAGAAACACATGAGGCTCTCCAAGGACCATGACCCCATTAACTGGGGCTTACAGCTGTCAGGTGGAGGAATAATTACACTGAACTGACTTAGAGTTAGTTTAGCTTGGCCTTCCCGTTTTTCCCATTGTTTAGTGTTGATCGATACTGATGTCAGGATAAGGGTGAATGAGGAGTCAGCTGCCCCTTCCAAGACATGTTTTTCATTGGAAATCTCATCTAATGACAGTTTGCCTTAATTAGAAAGTGAATTTCACCCACTCTGCATGTAAGGTTAGAGGGAGTTTGGGGTATTCGTTCTATTTTTAGAAGAGCTGGATTCCACATTTAGCTTCTACCCTAAAGTGCTTTTGAAAGGGGTAGGCAAGGGAGTCTGGGCCTCACTGGGTGATGCTCAGGGGCTATTCCAAGATTTGTGCTCAGGAGTTACCCCTGGCTGTGTGCAGGGGATCATATGTGGTTCTGGGGACCCAATCAGGGTCTCCCACCCTAAACTGATCATCAGCTGTGTTCCTATAATGGTCAGGTGGGAGTTTTACCTTTAGCATCATCCTGTCTGCCTGAGCCAAACCCACTTCTCTCCTCTCCTCTGTGCCAGAGAAACTGAGCTCTCTAAGATCTCCACAGAGACCAGGGTCTCATCTCCTGGGTGCACTGGCAGCACACCTCATGCTTTCATGAGCCAAAACCCACTTAAGTCAATGGGCAGAAGGATCTGAAATAGCCAAGCCCATGGTAGACTGAATAGGGGAAGTATCTATTGATAAATGACTTTTCTCCAAGGAATCAGCAATTTGAACAGGGGCCAACACCTAATGCATTAGTTGGTCAAATCAACAAATACTTTATGGAAAAACTACTGGGTACTTAGTACATAACACAGAGTTCCCTTACAGAAATCTCACAGGCATCAGGATGGATTTTTTTTTTTTGCTTTTTGTGTCACACTCAGCGATGCTCAGGGGATACTCCTGGCTCTGCACTCAGGAATTACTCCTGGAAATGCTGGGGGGACCATATGGGATGCCAGTGATCGAACCCAGGTTGGCCACATGCAAGGCAAACACCCTACCCGATGTACTATTGCTCCAGCCCCTGGATATTTTTAATTGTTACAACTCTGTCAATAATAGGGTTTCTGGATAGGATCAATATTTTCTACAGACACAAAAATGTGGGATAAGAAGCACCCCAAATCACAACACAGCACAGCATCTCCAAGCCTGGTTCTGGGTTCCAGAGTCATACATGAGCAGCTGTTCCTGCATCAGCTCACTCTGCACTCCCCACCCCCAGGCCCCCTGGGCTCCAGACTGAATGTCAAACTCATCCAGACAAAATGTTGGGCTCAAGACTCCTGGCTAGAGACAGATTTAAAACTGAGTAATGGAATTCTTTCTATGGGGCCACAATAAAAATAGTATTTGTAATAAATTTTCATATTCTTTAAACACTCAAGTGTTTGTTTAAAAAAGATAACAATATTAATAGCAGAAAACAAGATAAAAAGTTCTCATTCTTGACTAAGACATCTTATCCAGGATCTGAATTCTGCTTGAAGAAGTCCGCACACTGGGAGAGCTTATCTGCTGGACCAAGACTTGTTTTATTACAGTTTTCTTGCAGTCCATCCAATTTTTATTATAACTAATGATATTTTCTTAAAGCACAAAGTTAAGGCACAGCACATAGTGAAAATTTAAATTCTTTTGCCTTGTATCTTCAATTTAGTGCTCTCATCTTCAGTACTTGTCAGGTATTTCTAGCAGACCATCTTAAATTACTTTAGCTATGGAATGAACATGTGTCTGAGAACGGTCACTTTTGTACCTCTAAGTGTACATGCTTGGCTGAATGACGACAGACAAACTGGTGGGCATTTTACCCCTAACGGCATTTAAAGATGTTTCATTAGCACTCTGTATCTGCTGTTGTCCTTTAATAGATGGACACTGGAATGTCCATTCATATAAATCCTTGAATGACACAGGCACCTTAAAGCACGTGCATCAGAGATTGAGATACAGTTTCATGGTGCAGCATCGGCCTTGCTGTGTGCCCACACAGCAGAGACTCTCTCTCTCTCTCTCTCTCTCTCTCTCTCTCTCTCTCTCTCTCTCTCTCTCTCTCTCTCTCTCTCCCACTCCCCCTTCCCCTTCCCCTTCCCCTTCCCCTTCTTTTGGGCATTATGGTTTGCAATTCAGATACTGAAACCACCTGAGCTATAATGAAATAATCCTACAAAGTCCTTTGTAAGCAAAGTGACTACCAGTGTGTTGTTTCTTAGAACATGGCAACAATGAGGATCACTAAATGAGCTGGTTAGATGATGGCTCTGCAGATGGGGACTGGGGTTCATATCCCACAGGGAGGAGAGATCCAGTCCAGACCCACTGCAGGCAGTATGTGGTCGGGAAGGGTTTGAGTCAGGACATTCAGGCACCATGGTCCTGCCATGCCCTGCTCTAGGGCACATTTCAATCACCTTTCATGTTGCTGGGAAATCCAGTAGGTTTCACTTTCATGGGGCAGAAATTCATTGTACTCAACACTGGATCATGGACAGATTATTATTATTATTATTATTATTATGCATCTCACATCAAACAGGTTGCAAAGAACATGGCTTTGGTGGCTGATTTTGTTTTTGTTTCGGGGGCTGCTTAGATTAGAAAGGCTGTCCAGCAGGTATACCAAGTGTGGTGGGTATAGGATTCTCAGGGCAGCTCTTTGATGGGGTGCCTTCCGGTTGGGAGACAATGGGCCCCACTGCTGCTCTCCTGGTTCTTGGAGATCTGTCTGAGTGATGCTGAAGTAGCTGGTGCAGTCCAAACCCCAGTGGATTTCAACATCAGGGCTTGTTTTAGGTGTCTGTGTCTTTGTGGTTCAAAGCCTGACTTCTGTGGGTTGATTATGTCATTTGGTCATTGTCAATAAATTTGGGGCCAAATCCAGTAGTATTCAGAGCTTACTTCTGGCTCTGTGCTCAAGGATCATTCCTGGCAAGGCTCAGTGGACCATATGGTATGTTGGGGAGTGAACCTATGTCAGCTGATGCCAGTCAAGTGCCCTGCCTGCTATATACCTATTAAGTACCCAATTATCTATTTCTTAAAATTATACATATTTTTTTAAGTTATGGCATTAAGCACTGTAATTTAGGCAGCATGGTTAAAATAGTGATGATTTTCATGGTTTTCCTGAGCAGTCACTGTACCTGAATCACCACCAAGTGCCCAAGTGTCCCCACTACTACTGTTCTTGTGTCAAGTCTAGTCCATCTCTTGTGTCCTTCCAGTCTGCCTTTCCCTTCCACCTCCAGTCACCCCACTTCTTAGTCATTTCACTTTACCTTCAAAGGTCAAGGGTTTGATTTCATTTGATATGTCTATTTGTTATATATATACATATATAACAAATATATATCAGATTTAATCAAATCATCTTGTATTTGTTGCTTTCCCTCTGGCTTACTTCCTTTAACATGATAACCGCAAGTTTCATACAAGTTGCAATGAACTGCAAGATTTCATCCTTTTTACAGCTGCATATTACTCCACTGTGTATATATACCAGAGCTTTTTAATTCATTCTTATGTTCTTGGACATTAGAACACATCCATTATTTAACTGTGTCCTTTTTCTTGCTTCCCCCTCTTCCTCTTCTCTTTCCATGTTAAATTCTGTCCATCAGAAGCAGAGGTTTTGCACAGACCTTCTACAGAACTGACTAGTACTTTTCTGAAGTGATAAGGCCATGAAATGTTACCTACAATCAGAGATGAAGGAGACATGGCAGCTCAGTACTAAGTGGGATCCTGAGTAGGACCATGGAATAGAAAGAAGATATTAGTGTCTGCGGGGGGGGGGGGGGGCACAGGATTAGTGAAATGTTTTCACCATCTGTGAAATCTGGGCCAGGCCTATATTTCAGTTGAGTGTTGTACCCCTGCTAATCTACTAGTTCTGATATCTTGTCCTGTGTCAGGGGTGAGGGTGGACACATTAAGGGTAGCTGAATAAAGATGATAAGGCAATTCCCATTTATTTATTTCTGGTGCACACCTGCAATAGGCCCTCAATTTATCTTCCCAGATTCCTGGGGAGACCCTGACAACCCTCATTATATCAAAGAAGATGGAGGCTTGGTGAAGGCAGAGTTGACGTGGGAACTGGGCTCTGTTGTTTGTGCAAATTCCTGAGCATGGAAATAGATTCCATTTGAGCTTGACAGAAAAAGCAACAAAATACCTTACGTGGTATGGTGCCTGGTAAGGTGCTCAGCACCTTCCAAAAGACCCTTATGAAAGCCCTCTGTGTGGTGCCCAAGAACAGTTCTCAAAGGCAGGAAACACAGATTCCCGGTCTCCTCTCCTGATCCTCTTCTTAAACCTGCACTGGGCTTCAAGTGGTACTTGGCACACAGGCCTGTCATCAGACACACACCACCACTGGCCTCTTCTTTCAGGCAGCGGTGACTTGCAGGGAGCTGCTCAGAGCTGCCAAGCTCCCCCAGATCCTCCCGCAGGGCATCGACCTGGGCTTCTGGCCACTTAGAGTCCCAGACAACAGGGCATGTCTAGATTACGGGGCTGATCCTGCAGGCTTGGGGGCAGGGGCTGTCACCCTGGTTTTGGCCCTGCATTGATGACCTGGTGGGATCCGGGGACTGTTGTAGTTCTGATAGTTCCTGCTTCGTTTGGACCTGGTATCTCTCCCCACTTCCTAGACTCTCATCATGAGTCTCTGCCCTAACATTCTTTCAAGTATGTGTCCATCTACCCCTGACTCCAAGACCCTCTCAAGGATTTCAGAGACTTAAATCTTACAGTCTTCCTTTTCTAGTATTCTGTTTTGGGGACTAGGTCTTGAGGTCCAGCACTGAATTCAGACAAAGTCCACTGAGTCAGAGAGCGGATGTGAGCTCCATGCTGCTCTATGCCTTCCACCTGCTCCTCCTATGTGGATGGGCAGTAGAGTGGCATCTCCTCTGTATGGACGGGCAGGGAGGTGCTATCTCACCCACTGGCCTCAGGAGAGCTCTCTGAATCCACTCTTGACCTGTATTGGGGGAAACCTCGTCTCTTCGCCTTGTTCTAGTTATCTTTGTGTCTAATTATCAAACTGAGTGAGTACCTTACAGGAGGGTCATCCATCTTCGATGACCTAGGGAAAGTTATTTGCTGACTAGACAGAAATAACATTGTTGTGGAGAAAGTCAAAGTTTGGCTGGAAGACATGGAGCCCATTCAATGTCATCTTAGTTTATTATATGGTTTTCAACGGAAGGTCAGAATCCAGGAGGCCAAAGAGGACACACAGCCCCGGGATACTAATTACTATGAAAAGCAAAACGGAACATCTGCTTTAAAGTCTGTAGTCTATTGTTACTGCCAGCTTGCCCCACATGCTATCAACTATAAAAGAATAAAAATTGTTTCACAGTGAGTAAAGAACTATATGAAACACAGAGGCAGTTTTCTTAATAGTAAGGGGGAAATTCCTGGATGTTTTCAAATACCACCTCGGAAACAAATATAAGACTGAGTCAAGCAGTTGAGGGAGCAGCGTCTGGACTGAATCCATTCTGTTCAGGTTTTTCCCTAGAACAGATTCAATCATTTTATTTTTTAAATTCACTTTTTTATCCCCAGATTCTATCATTCTCTCTTCCTAGGAAAACAAGTAGCTGGGCAACATCCTTCCATATTCTGTAATAGCACTGTCCTCCAGTTGTTCATCAATTTGATCAAGTGGGCACCAATAACATCTCACAACAAATTGTGAGACTTGTTGTTACTGTTTTTTTTTTGGCATATCCAATATGTCATGGGTAGCTTGCCAGGCTTTGCCGTGCAAGCGAGATTCTCTCGGTAGCTTGCTGGGATCTCTGAGAGAGGTGGAGGAATCGAAGCTGGGTCGGCTGTATGCAAGGCAAATGCCCTACCCGCTGTGCTATCGCTAAAGCCCATATTCTGTAAGATAAAGGTAAGGTAAAGGTAAAGGCCCTCCCGTTGATCATCGATTTGCTCGAGCGGGCCCAGTAACGTCTCCATTTGGAGACTTTGTTGTTACTGTGTCTGGCATATCGAATACTCTCGGTAGCTTGCCGGGCTCTCCGAGAGGGGCGGAGGAATCGAACTCGGGTCGGCCATGTTGGCCACTTGTAAGGCGAACGCCCTACCTGCTGTGCTATCGCTCCAATAGAAATAAAAATTTTGTAACACTGAATCAGTGTAAAAACTTGAGCCAGAGAGATACCAGAGAAGGTAAGGCACTCGTCTTGCACACAGCCAACCCTTGTCAAAGTCCTAGAAACACATTATGCCCCCCCAAGTACCACCAGGGGTCACACCTGAACAGAAAGCCAGAAACAGCCCCTACGTATCAATGGGTCTTTCCCAAGCCCCCAAATTTATTCATTCGCTGTAGGGAAGTGGGGATGATGGGGACCTAGTGATGGAGGGTCATGGATATTCTGGTGGTGGGTATGGTGTAGAAACACTGTGCCTGAAACAGTACTATCAACCCTATTGTAAGTCACTGTGCTGCCAACTTAATTAATAAAAATAAAATATGAATGTCCCACGCCTTGATAGAGGTTCATGAGGCACGGAATGAAGGGAAGTCACGGTGTGAGGGGCTGAGCCGGTGAGGGAGACCAAAGCTCTGCCCTGAGCTCCTTCCCCTGCAGGCTCTGAATTCAACTCCTGCCTCTTCCCACCATTCTTCTCAAGAGGGTGACTGACTTTAAGTGTTTAATCAGCTGAATAATGGGTTAATTGTCAGCCACTTTCCAGGGGCCACATCTCTGTAGAACTGCCACTCTGCACCACAGCATCATGTCCCTGGTGAGACCTGACCTTCCTCAGAAGGAAACTCAGCAGCAAAGGGGAACTCAGGCTCTCTCAGACATGACAAGGACTGGACTCCCTGGCCAGAGAGAAAAGGCAGATCACAAGGAATCTCCGCTCTCCTCTTCCATGGTCTGAGCTTGTGGCCACGCATGAGTCCATGCAGAAACCAGCTTCCAAGAGAGGGTCCAAGAGTCAGGAACAGGAGAAGGACCCCTTCTCCTCCCCCACCGGCAGAACCCATCCAGCAGAATCACCCAAAAAAGGCTCTTTCACACACTGGTCATACATACACACAAAGAATAATTCAGATTTCTACAGGTCAAAACCCAGGCGGTCTAAGAGGATCCACAGCACCAGGATACTAATTACTATGAAAAGAGAAACCAAAATGAGGAAAAAACAAAGACATTTGAGAACACTTTCCCTCAGTCAGATCCATCAGCCAATTGACAAGACTCGGAGGCAGCAAAGAGCTATACTGCAATAAGCATCCTTCCACAGTTTAGGAATCAACTGGATATTCTGGAGTGTTCTATTTAAACCCTGATGACATCTTGGAAAAGGCCAGGGAACTGAGTCACAGGGATCTGCCACGTGAAGAAGATGCACTTAAGATGCTATGTCAAGCCATGGATTTCAGACTCCCTGAAGGGAGGGCTAAGCTGGAAATGGCAGGCACTAGACAAGAAGGCTGCTGCGGCCCTCTGCCAAGTGGCCACCTTGCTTGCCCATCAGGCATGCGGCCTTTTGTTATCAAACATAGGTGGGCTCTCCAGGGACCTCTGAAAATTCACTGGAGCTGGCCTTGGAGCCCCCTGCAGCTCCTGAATCCTACAGAATGGGAGGGCAGGTACCATAGGGTGGGGAGTGGCAGTGACACTTGGGTGGCCAAGGCACTCACATGACTTCCTGTTAGCGCGGGATCGCTTCCTCTCCCGTGGCACCACTCGCTGGCTGGGCACTTGGGTGGCCGACTTGACAATGCGGTCCATGATCTCATCGGCTGCATCATCCGTGACATTAGGTGAGTCATCGGTCCCCACAGTCCATGAGCTAGTGGATCCTAGAGAATGAACCAAAGTCAGAAAGAAGGAAAACACGAAAAGAAAACCCCCGAGCACTGCTCCTCCAGCCTGCAGAGCTACCTGCAGGGGATCATGACTGAGTCGGAGCTACAGTCTGGGTCTGACTCAGCCATTGCTCACTGTCCCCACTGCTCACAGGGCTGCAGGGAAACCACTCTGACCTCGGGCTCAGGCTCCACATTCTGAACTGCCCCAGATGCGTCTTTAGAGCACTCATGCCACACCCCTCTGTAATGCTGCAGTGTCTGTGTCACACTTGCTGCCCTCTAACTTCCCACCCCTAGCTGAGCGATCACCTGTCAGGTCTTGGGATCTGGACAGGGTAGATTACCCCTGCTGTGTACTGCTCTGCACAATACAAGTACCCAGAACCATGCTCATGGTTCCATGACTGAATGCCAATTAACTTCTCAAACATAAACCAATTTGGAAGCATTGTTTATTTATTGACTGGCCATACTTAAAAAAACCCTAACATGTAGGGAGGATCCTCCCAGGATGGAAGAAGCATGCTGAAAGTAGACTATAGACCAAACAAGATTGCCATTCAATGCCTCTTTTGCAGACCACAACACACAAAAGGAGAGAGAGAACAAATGGGAATGCCCTGCCACAGAGGCAGGGTGGGATGGGGGGGCGGGGAATGAGGGGTGGGAGGGATACTGGGACCCGTGGTGGTGGAAAATGGGCACTGGTGGAGGTATGGGTGTTTGGTCATTGTATAATTGAAAGTCAAGCACAAAAATTTGTAAATCTACAACTGTACCTCATGGTGTTCACTAACAAAAATTTTTAAAAAATTGTAATTGATGGAGAATGGGCACTGGTGGAGGGATGGGTACTGGATCATTGTATAGCTGAAACCCAAGCGCAAAAACTTGTAAGTCTACAACTGTACCTCATGGTGTTTCACTAATAAAAATTTTAAAAAAGATGTTTATAAAATTAAAAAAAATAAAATAAAAAACCCTAACAGGAACTGCTCTCTTAAACTTCAAATGGGAAATGGACATAAAATTTTCTTTGATGCATTCACCTGTTTCCCAAATTGGAAATATATATATGTATATATATATACATATATGCACACACATACATACACACACACACACACACACCATGCAATTCCTAGTCTGACATAAAAGCATAGAGACAAGAAGAAAACACTGAGAATATGAGTTCCCAACCAGATTTAAATGGGGAACAAATACAATTTTATTATATCAAGAACTCTTCTTTCATGGAACTGGAATGATAACACAGTAGCCTGCACCCCGATACCTGCAGCCAGCATGGAGAACCCAGAAAACTGTGAACTTTGTCTCCTCATCCCTGCATACAGGACAGAGGCCAATGTGGAGACATGAGCCACGAAGCCAATGGATCAGAAATTACTGAACGGTGAGAATCCGGTCGTGAGGGTTCCTTCCAGAGCAAGAAGATGTCAGCTGGGGCTGGAGCAATAGCACAGCGGGTAGAGTATTTGCCTTGCAGGCAGCCAACCAGGGTTCAATTCCCAGCATCCCACATGGTTCTCCGAGCACCACCAGGAGTAATTCCTGAGTGCAGAGCCAGGAGTAACCCCTGTGCATTGCCGGGTGTGACCCAGAAAGAAAAAAAAAAAAAGAACTCTCCCTTCAGAGGCCCTCCTTATGAAATCTCTCCTAAAGGCTAGAAGCTGTGAGCCCTTAAGAGGACATATGATGTGCTCGAAAAAGTGAATTTACTTTACCTAAACTTTCCTTTGCAACAAACTGTGAAAAAGTCTTATGGGAATGTCCTGTTACTGTCATAAGTGCCATAGTGAATGCACAAATGAGAATGTGTGTCTGTGTCCCACTCTGGTAGCAGTCTGACTGAATTAGACCAACAGTTTGCCAACCCCTGCCTTACCACAGGAAAACTCATTCACAAGAATTCCTCTTGTGTGAATTCCATTTGACTTGGGGGAGGGTTGATTGTCTTTGAGATGAAGCTACTGACCTTGGTTCACAAAGCCAGGAGTGAGGGAAAGTGCGATGACGTCCTCAGTGAAAAGGCTCTTTGCAGAAACACTTACTTTCCATCACGTCCATCTGTCCCCCCTACCCCTGGACCCACCCTTATCTGCAAGGCGCGCCCCCTGCTGGCAGGAGTTACCTCTGCTGGCCCGGCTTCGCAGGCGCACTCCAACTGGAGTCGCATCCTCCACGGAAGGGGACGAGGTTTTCAGTACTGCCTTCATGTTCTCGTGCTCAGCCGCATCCTCAGCGTAGCTCAGGCCCTGTGGTTGAGTTGGGGGTGCCGGGGAGCTGCCCGAGAATTTGCCTGACTGGAAAACCAGAGCAGAATTAGGATGCAAGCACATCCCTCCATAAACTCCATAAACTCCATAAACTCAGGTTTATAAAATGACCCCCGAAGGGAAACTACCAAGTCACGGTGCCTTGGTCCTTTTTCTCCCCCTGCAGACAATCGTTCTGACAGTCACCAAGGTTGCCAATGAACTAATGACATGACGTATCCTCTGATTATATAGAAAGTTCTCTAAGCAGGAGGAAAAGCCCCCATCCCACAAAACCACCCCTCTCTACCCAGTATCCACCCCACCAACATCAACCCTGGGAAGAATTCAGAAACCCAAATCTGTTTCTAGCACCTTGGTAGGAGAACTGATATATACCCAGTTAATCAAATGCAACAAGCTTTACTGCTATCTTGTTAAAACACAGTGCCAGAAATGTTCATCTCTGCCCCTTTTCAAAATGGGATGCAGTCACTGAGTCATATATTGTTAACAGGTCCGAAAGAATTTAGGCAGATCTAGCCCCTGGCTTCCTTTACAGAGAAGGAAATGAAGGACCTCCAAGATTTAGTGACTACTCAAAGTTCCTAAAAGAGATTAGTCTCAGAACCCAGATCAGGACACAGGAATCCATGCTGAAACCAGGTTTGGCCAACACAACTTCTGGTTGTGCCCCAGATTTAGTGGTTTTAATAAGCATATCTCTCTCTCTCTCTCTCACACACACACACACAACACTTACACACACACAACACTTGCTGAATCTAGCTGAGTGTATATGGGCATCTACGCCCTACAGAAGATATGCTAGAACAACACCAGGCCAAGTGTCTTCACATGCTAGACATATGCATGAAAAATGCAATGTCAGATTAACATCTTCAAAGAGCAGCTCCACAGATCCCTGGCTTCCTCTTTTCATCCAGTGCCTCAGCTTAAGGACTAAGCCCAGGACACATCTGTGGCTTGTGCCATGTGCAAATCAGCCTCTCTTCTGCCAGGGCCCCGCCTCAGCCTCTGGCTCTGGCATCTGCCCCAGAGGTGACAGGAGGGGCTCTGCCACCCCACACCTGCACATGCTCATCCCAGAGGATCTCCCAGATGCCAGCCCAGGAAACTGGGCCCGAGTTAGAGGATGCCCATGGCAGTGCCCACTGCCCTGGCCACTGGATCTTAGCCACTCATAGTCCTGCTTTTTTAAAAAAAAGTTTGTTTTAGGGTTTCTTCTTGTGTGTTTTTTTTTCTAGAATTCTAGTATCAGATATGAGAAAAGGACGGGGGGAGGGGGGTTGGAGGGAAATTTTCCGCTTCTCCAGCTGAGCCAGTCACTCTTGATGGAGTCTAAAGACTCCGGGGAAGCTTGGAAAATGCAGTCAGCCCTTTCATTCCTGACACACACAGCATGATGAGAACCTGGGTGAGGAGGTTAGTGACCCCATGGAAAGCAGCCAGGAAATGGCCATGCAATGGGTTAAAGCGCTAAACGGTGCAGACTCTTCATGCTGCGTGTTAGGCTCTAGCGCACACCCAGAATGTGACATTCTTTCTGGTCAGAACCAGTCGTACCTCAACTTCATCCTCTTCATCAGTCTACCCGAGAGGACAGGACAGAACGAAAAAAGATACAAGTGATTCTTAGAAGACACAGAAATCAGCAAAATGACACCCTCTCAATGTCACCTCCAATTCCAAATCAAGAAAGGCCATCACCACTGGGGCACACGCCCTTAATCTGGGAGCCTGCCAAGGCCCTGCCTGCATCATGTTGCCATCCTCAGCCGGACATGCCCTCCTTGACTCCCCAGCCTCGGGTCAGTGGAGAGTCAGCGGGTGTTTGTGGGTCTCCAGGCCAATCTTCTGGGGTGGCTCTGATATCAATACCCTGCCTCTCTGGCTCCCTGACCTACCCGACCCCAGCCCAGCTCCCATCATTGCCACTCAGCCGTGGCCTGCTGAATCCACCACCACCTGCTGGCAGCTGCCTCTTCAGTTTATCACCTGCCCACCCCGCCTCCAGCCCTATCAGAAGGGCTGGGCCTTTCCTAATCAATCTCTTGATTAACCACACTCTCAACTTGAGTGTTTCCATACAGTTGCAAGGAGAGAGAGAGAGCAAATGAGACACAGGTTTTTGAGAATAGAGTAAACTTTCGGGAGCTACATTGATAAAGTTGCTGGGCTTGGACGTCTGTGGATCCTTCTCTGGACTGGCTAGAGAGCCCAGTGTAACAACTGCCCAAACAGAATCGTTCCTCAGAAGCACGAAATCTCATCTTCTTTAAAATCTTGATGATCTCATTTAAAATCTTATTTTAAGATCTATTAGCCTAAATTGACCCACCAGATTTTTCTTATAAGGAGCATATTGGGCCATAGCCAGCTGTGCCTAGGGATGACTCCTGGCTCTGTGCTCAAGGATCACTCTTGGTGGGCATAGGGGACCAAATGTGATGCTGGGGATCAAATCTGGTCAGGTGCATGCCAGGCAAATGCCTTACCTCCTGTATTATCTTTCTGATTCCTCATCTACTATACTTTTAACTGTCATCAGAATAATTTACATAACTTGGAAAAATATCCCTTTTCTAAAAATAGTACAAGTTATGTCAATCTCTTGATTAACCACGAAACTTGAGTGTTTCCATGCAGTTGCAAGGAAAGAGAGCAAATTAGACACAGGTTTTTGAGAATGGAATAAACTTTGGGGAGCTAAATTGATAAAATGCTTCCAGTTCACCACATTCCAGACGGCCCCGGCCAAGTGGCATCACAACCAAAGATGACAGTCCTCATATATAGCTAGACAGAGACTTTCTCCAAGAACTCATTTATTTAACCAGGGAAGTTATCATTTTTTAGCAGTTAGTATCTGTGCAAGTAGCTGCATATAAGCTTTCCAGCTCTCTATGTCCCCCCATACCAGCATCTTTTTTTCTTTTATCTTTGCTTTTGGGTCATGCTCAGTTGTGCCCAGTGCTTACTCCTGGCTCTGTGCTCAGGGATAACTTCTGGCAGTGCAGGGCATTGAATTGGGGTCTCTTGCCTTGCACACAGCAGTTTGAAAGGCAATTATCTTATATATTGTACTATTTTTCTGGCCCGCATCATTTCCTTTTTACAGAACAGAGGTAGAGAGAGGGAAGGGCCTTACCCAGGATTACCCGACTGCTTCTGAGGAGAACTCTGAGGGTTGATGATATGAAAGACTGATTTCCAAGCATAAATGGTGGCAGAACGGGCTCATTCTGCCTTGTCTATGTCATTATTTTGTTTAGAACCAGTTTCTGATACAATGATCAGGAGTTACTTAGATTTTCATTTTTATTTAAAACAATTCCTGGATTGTAATAAAGGAGGCTTTTATGTGTATTCAAAATCAGAGAAAAAATAAGGACAGGTACATAAAGCCAACAAAATCTTTAAGCACCTGCAGATTTGATCTATATTTTTCTGTCTTGAAATCTAATGCTTTCCTGAAGCTGGAGGGATAAAGCAGTGGGTAGGGCACTTGTCTTGCACACAGCCAACCTGAGTATGATGCCCAGCACTAGATACAGTCGTCAAGCCCCATCAGGAGTAAGCCCTGGGCATAGCCAGATGTTGCTCAAACACCAAAATAAAAAACTAAAAGAGGGGCTGGAGCGATAGCACAGTGGGTAAGGTGTTTGCCTTGCACATGGCCAACCCGGGTTCGATCTATGCTGTTTTCTGGCCTGATCATGACATGCTTGGGTGTAGGATAACATTAGTTTACCCTTTCTCCCTTATCTCGGGGAATTTATGTTTATTGGGTTATACCCAGCAAACTACTGAGAGTATCTCACCCGCACAGCAAAGCCTGGCAAGCTACCCGTGACATATTCGATACGCCAAAAACAGTAACAAGTCTCACAATTTGTTGTGAGACGTTACTGGTGCTTGCTCAAGCAAATCGATGAACAACGGGGAGGACAGTGCTACAATGCGACCCATCACAGTACTCCTGGGGCCCTCCCTTTCCTCTGCATTAATCTTTCACTTCTTCTCTGTGCTCTGCTTCCCCTGTCTGTGTTTATCACTTATATCCCCAAATCAGATTCTGTGACTTCTAAGGTCAAATCCTTCTAAGGACCCTGGATTTTGTATTTGTAAGTGAAATATTGCTTTTCTCTTTCCCTTATGTCCTTTGCATAGTTCACTTTAGAGAAATGTCCTTTTTGTATAGACACAGGAAGACAGTTAATGCTATGCTTTTGTAACTTGGGAGTTAACTGATTCATAATAATATTTACTCCTGGGCATCTGTCATATTTATTTGACTTAAGTCTCAGTTACCCTTAGTTCCTAGCACCCCAAAGCAGGGTCCTGACGAAGAGATTTAGAAGGAGTCAGGGCAAGTTGTGAGCTACCCTGGCATCAAAAAGGGACAGGCCTAGTGCCATAAAAATTATAATAAATTAAGAGCATGGTCATGGACAAATTCTTCATGACCCACAGAGAAGTGACTGGACAAGGACCCTGCTGGGGTTAGGAAGGACTAATCTGGCCTGAGGAGTGTAGTCTGGGATCTATGGAGAGATGTCCCCAGGAAAGCTACCCTTTAAACTTAATATATCTCACTGTGTCCAAACAAAATGATTAGAAAGATTATTAAGAAGTAAATTTAAGATGACTATTTAAATGGACATGAACCAAGGAAAGGAGAAATATGACCTTAGGTGAAATTTCACCCTTGAGCGGATCTCCTAGCAGGATGAGATCTTTGTCTTAAAAGAGCTTCTCCGGAAAGAAGGACTTTACATATGTCAATTGTGCTACCTGGGCATAGTTGCTACCCTCAACCTTGGAGGTTGGGCTCTTGACTAAGGCTGTGAGACTGGGCACAGTGAGACTAGCATGGAGGAAAGTAGGAGATGGGAATTAGGGGCGATGTGAGACTAGAATGGGGCACTCAGTGAGACTGGAATAGGCGCACGGGGAGAATGGAGTAAAAGGCGGGACGAAGGTTAGACTAAACAGGAACTGATCACCAACCAGCTTGGCGGCTCAGTTCCCTCCTTCATGCATCTGTTGGTGGCGGCAGCAGGCCGATGTGGGGAAGCAGCTCATGGCCACTGAACGCACATGGTAAGAGAGCCCACACTATTATTGAACACACACTTGGGGTTTAAGTCTGTCTTTTATTGCACTCTATCCTTGATGTCCCAAGTAACTGAGTTGGGAAAACCTGAAACTGGACTTTACCTCAAGGGACAATATCCTAATCTGCCAGTAGATGGCAATCTTTCAATATGAATTATTCCACTAGAACAGATTAAAATGAGGCTGAAACCCTAAATCTATACTGTCCAGATTTAATGGGAATTTAAATATTTCAGAATCAAACACACACTAGAAACTTTTACCCCTGTTTATAAATAGGAAAGCCAAATGTTTTCAGAGAGGGACAGAATTTAAAAATTAGTGGGATCTGTAAAATATCTCAAGAATTTGGCAAGAAATTATGATGTTTTTTCCTAACTATAAGCATATTGGGCTTGTAATTTTCACTCCCCAATGTGTCTTATTTCCATAAAAATAAGCAATCCTATTTTAAAACTTTTTACAGGACTATTTTAGAATAAAACATGGGCCAGTTTGTTTCCTGAGTTGCTAACTTCCAGGAGGCCAAAGACCCAATTGAAGCCAGATTTCAGGCAAGGAGGCAGAAGGCCCAAAGGAGGTGCTAGTCTTCAGAAGCCTGGGGGAAAGAGCCTCTTCTACAGAAGAGATAAGAGCACTCCCTAAGGAGTCTGGAAATTCCACGGACACAAGGGGTTTGGCTGAGGTTGGTAGTGAGAAATGAGTCCTTGATGCTCCTCAGAGTGGTCTAAAATGATGCTTAATTTCTATGCTAATGTATTCTGTCTCCATGTGAAGGTCAGACCCCTGAAGGACATGTTTAATAATACTATTACCTTTGTCTCTCCAACATCATCAACACCTGTTTGGGCATAAGAGGCAGTCTGGTATCTTCTTTTGTTCCCATGTTGGTCATACCCAACAGTACTCCAGAGTCACTCTGGCAGTCTGGGGACTAAACTCAGGCCTACAGCATGCAAAGCATGTGCTTAGCCTACTGAGTGATATCTTTGGCCCCTGATATCTTTTTTTTCTGTTTTGCTTTTGGGGGTCACACCCAGCAATGCTGAGGGGTTACTTCTGCCTCTGCACTCAGGAATCACTCCTGGCAGTGCTTGGGGGACCATTTGGGATGCCAGGAATCAAATCTGGCTTTGCCACATGCATAACAAATGCCTTGCCCACTGTACTATCATTCCAGCCCTTAGTGGATTTTATTCCTCCCTAAAGATCTGCTGAGTTCAGTTGTGGTTTGCAACCCCAAGATGATGGTGCTCCCTATCCCTTAGTAGTTTGCTCATTCCATTCCATTCCCATTCACCGAGAGCCAATGTACTTCTCAAATATATATCAGTGGACAGGATAAATGTCATAAGGCCATTAGAAGGATCCCCTTGTGCCGTGTCTTTTCTTTGTCTCTGGCATCACCATATGTCCCTTGCATTCCACTTAAGAAGTATCCCCCATCTCAGTGTCCATTGCACCTGTGGCCTGGGAGGGCTCATGGATGAAGAGCAAGGATGGAGGAATAGCCCAGGAGCTGGGGAGCATGTGAAGGTGGAAGGGATCCCAGAAGATGCAGGAAATTCCTGTCAATCCACGGTCCCCTGTAATTTCTCCCTACTTGATGTTCTGTGGCTCAAAAGCCTCTCAGATAATGCCTCAGAGATAATCACATCAATTATTTCTCCCTCTGGATAATGTCTAGAATGGGTGGGTCTATGTATCAACTAATTGGTTATATGCCTTTGTTCTGAGGATTCAAATCCTGAATCAATTCCCAAACAATAAATAATGTGTCTTCCTATGATAGGTGGCACTGTCTTTTATATATTTTGTTTTCTTCTTTACAATATTACCCACATCACGAAGGTTAAAAATGGGATTATATATTCAGCATCCTCCAACATACTGGCATAGATTAGGAAATGCCCTTCACCAGCTACGTTTCACAGGTGCTTTCTTGTTATATAGTCAATTTTCACTGACCTGGTAGAGGAACAGTTTAAGAGCTCTCATTAAAAGAGGGATTTTTTTAATATTAAAAAATGCAGAAACTAAGCTGGGGCTGCTTTCTGCTTGATAGTACTTTCAAAATAAATGACATAAAGCAACTGTGTGCATCCATGAAACTTACATCAGTGATCATCTTCCCTCTGGTCTTGTTTCTCTCTCTGTGGTTGGCCCGTTTCTGCTTCTGCTGCAAAACCCTTTCCCGTGTCGTACGGTATTCCAGTGCAAATTCACTGATGATTCTGCAGAATTTGTTTATATTCACTTCCCGGATTGCATAAGGTGGATGGCCCATAAAGAGCAAAAAGGAATGGAACCTGCAATGAGAACCGATAGTGACAATAACTTCAATTTTCAGAACAAGAGCTAGTGGTCTAACCATTTTTAGTAAGGAATAAATCAAAGACAGACTTCTTCACTCCTGGAACTCTGGGGCTGAAGAGTCTTCTCAAGTGAAAATGTAACCAGAAGTTCAACATTTTTTTTTATTGGGGAAGACTATGCCTAGGCGGTAGAATTTCAAGACATTTACTTTTCTATATTTGCTCATTTGTTTTTTTACTGGTTGTCTAAAATGAATATGTATATGTATATTTAAAAAACATAGTATGAGACTAATATCCAAGGACAGCAAAAACAGGGACCAGAAGGACTTGTCCATGGTTGGAAGGTGGCCACAAGTGGGGCAGGGCAGTTAGCATAGAAAAGGGACCACTATGACAATGACAGCTGGAAATGATCACTCTGGGTAGGACCTGAGTGCTAAAAGTAGGTAAAGTGACAAAATGATGACCTTTTAGTACCTGATGTGCAAACCATAATGCCAAAAGGAGAGAAAAAGAGAGACAGAGACAGAGAAGGAGCAGAGAGAGAGAAAGAAGAAAAGTATCTGCCACAGAAGCAGGCTGAGGGTGGGAGAGGTGTCCAGCGGGAGGAAAACTGTGGACATTGGTGGTGGGAAATGTACACTGGAGAAGAGACGAGTATTGGCACATTTATGACTGAAACCCAATCTAACAACTTCAGAACTGTGTATCTCGCAGTGATTCAACAAGAATTAAAATATGTAAATTTTTTGAAAAGGAAAAATAAAAAATAAAATCTATAAAATGTAAAAAAAAGATAAAGTTTTGTTTTATGGAAACTAGTACACGATTTCTAAGTTATGTAAGAATAAGAAATAAAGAAATGCTGCTTAAAAATTCCTGGGGAATATGCTTTAAGAAATACTGGAATAGACATGCAGATGTTATGAATAACATGGTAATGAATGGGTTCTAAAAAATGCTTGTAAAATTTCCTCTGAATAAACATTTTGAAATGTTCTCTTGTATTACTACATATAATCTTAATCAGGGGACATTAAATTAACACAAAAGAAATCTATTTCAGCTATTTAAATTACAAATTTAAACTATTGGATTCTTTTGATCATCTTTTTTTTGTCACTTAAAAAAGTTTTATTCGTCACTTAAAAGAGACAATAAGAGACGGAAATTTTTATATATAACACAACATTAAAATAAATAATATTATCATTAGTAGATTTTAAAAACTTTTGGTTTTGATCACTATAATTATCAACTCAAATACAGCTTTTGTTTTCAGGGGGCCTTATTTTTTGGTTTTGAGATTACACTAGCAATGGTCTAAGGACCATGCAGTGCCAAGGATCAAACCCAGGACCTCACAGATTCAAGTGCTCTACCCTACTGCTAGCCACATCTGCAGCCTTGTTTAGTTTTCAAATGAGGCAAACTGGTTTATTATTTTTTTAAAGAAAAATTAAAGCACACAACATATTCTTACATATAATAATAATGAAAAAATGTGCTTAAAGCCAAACATGCTAGCTAAAATTAGACAACTACCAAGAAAAACAATGTATAAATTATTCAAACTTTAGATTGTGCAAGATTTTATGGACGAAACACCAAAAATACAAGCAACGAAGAGGAAAAACACAGATAAATTGGACTTCATCAAAATGTAAAACTAATACCCTTTGTGCACCCAAAGATATTCCTGTCATTCCACAGGAATGAAAATAATTGCAATTTGTATGTCTATCAAGGGATTTGTGTTCAGAATCTATAAAGGAATCTGCAGCTTAACATTTTTTAAAAAGATAAATTTTAAAAATGGGTAAAGGACAAGAATTTTTTTAAAAAGATACAGAAATAACTAATTAGCACATGAATAGAAATTCAGGGTCATTAATCATTCAAGGGTTGCCAATTAAAAGCTCAGTTGAGTCTCTACTCCACACTCACCAGGGTGACTCTCAACAAAAAAGACAAAAACCTAGTCTGCGTGAGGAGGTGGAGAAACGGCAGGAGGAGGAGCCCAGCTGCTGTAGAAAGTCCGTCCTTTCTAAAGCACTGAACACAGGGTCATTCTGTGACCCAGCAATTCTATGCCTTAGGTCAAAAGAAACCCTGCTTGTTTCCTTTCACTACCAAAAGACGCTTCTACTCAAACATTCACAGTGGCAGCATAATGGGAACAAGTTCTCCGTGGCAAACCAATGGGTGGCGTGAGGCTGCTTCTATATAGCATCCACAGCCCTGGCCTCAGGGCTGCTCCGGTCTCATCTGTCATCATGGAAGCCTCATGAAACCCTAAACACGCCCACTCAGTGCCTCAGGTCCCTGTTTGATATGTCAGGAAGCCCAGATAACACAGAATTGGCTGAGCTGAGAGTCCTCAGGCCTGTGATAGTAGAGCAGGGTGGTCCCTTTGCTGGGAGGGCGACAGACTAAAGAGGTGCCCGTTACAGCTGCATGGACTTCTGGCTCACCCCATGGTCTCTACCCACCAGCCCCTCCTCAGAGTAGTCTTCATGAACATCCCTGCTTTGTAAAGCAGCTCCTAATGTTACCCCTTGTCCCCCTTCTATGCCCACATTTTTCTCCTGGCTCTTTCACGTCCTGGCATCTTGTAGCTGATGTATGCTAGGCTGTGCTGTCTTAGGCTAGGATCCTGTGATGTACTGTGGGCACTATAGAAGATAGTACTTCATTATGGAAGATCTCTATGCAATAAAGTCAAGAGGAGAGTGATACAGGCCACAACTAGGTAAGTACTGCACTTAGTTCTTATTAAGTTTTGTTTCTACTCCCTCTCCACCTCCATTTGGAGGGGAGTGGAGGGTTGTTGGACCACACTCAATGGTGCTCAGGGATTAATCCTGGCTCTGCACTCAAGAATCACTTCTGATGGGTTTGAGGGACCATATGGCAGGTCAGAGATCAAACCGGAGTGAGCTGCTTGCAAGGCAAGTGTATATACCCACAGCACTATCTCTCTGGCCCCTTGACTGCCCCTTCTATACACAAGTACAACCCCAGATTCCTTATTCTCCACCTTTTCAGACCATCAGTTCTGAGGGGTCCAAACATATGAAGCTGAAAACATGAAAATGTGATCCAAGTTTGTGTTGCAAACAGGTAAGTGACCACAAGCTAGGATGATGCACATCTACTAAGGATGCCAGTAATTATCCAACAGGGATGGCATCATCGCGTGTCCTTCCATCAGAAGGACAAAGGGGGTACTTAAAGGGAGACAGATATTCAAGGGCTTATTCACTGAGTTGGTAGCATTGGGGACACATGGTGTGAAATCTTGTGCTTGAAAGGGGCTGGTTCTCATCAAAACTTGAGATACAAAGTCAAATGTCCTTAACTTGTCCTATCCTTTGCCCCTTTCATCAGTGTGCTCCTTAAGAGGGTGATCAGCTCAGGATGGGTAAGGGTAAGTTTGGGGATGATGGATCAGTGTGATTGTTATCTACTTCTCGGTCCCCTAGAATGGCAGCCCCCCTAGGTCTTCCCCTTTTCTCTGTGACTGTCAGAGTTAAATGCAACTGAATGATCCATGAAAATGAAAGAGGGGTCTGTGCCCCCAGATCAGAATCAGTCTATAAGAGCAGAGCACAGACAGGATGGGCAAAGGCTAATGTGTGGATCTGGACACTCACAACAAGACTTTTTAAGCTAGCAACAGTTTTTGCAAACCAGGTTTTGCCTAAAAAGGATTGTCTTGGGGCTGGAGCAATAGTAGAGTGGGTAGAGCGCTTACCCCTGCACACAGTCAGCTTGGGTTCAATCCCTGGAACCCCATATGGTCCTCCAAGTCTGCCAAGTATGATCCTGAACAAAGAGCCAGGAGTCATCCCAGAGCATTGCCAGGTGTGACCCAAAAACAAAAGCGAAAAAAAAAAAAATAAAGGCAGGGAGGAATCATCTTTGTTCTTTTTCTATTCCTTTATCAAGAGTGGGGCACTGGAGAAAATAAAGAAGGACCTATTCACCAGCAGAAGGCAGAAGCACCTGCCCCTTTAGCTCTGTGATGGAGGGAACAGAAAGAGTTAGGGACCAGATGGAGGTTCTGGAGTGGGGAGAGTCTGTGGAGAGACTAGAGATGCTGAAGGCCAGGAGACTACTGTTCTACCAGAAGAAGAACCCAGGCAGAGTTCAAGGGCAGTGCCAGGAGATGAAAAAGGCAAGAGAATGTACAACCCCCAAAGCCTGAGGTCAGGTGCCTCTGGGGGACCATGGAAGGTACTGGGCGCAGAACTGCATGGACTGAGGGGAAGGAAAAGAGGAAGCAGAGCCCACCACTTGGCCCTTCAGCTGCCAATAAGCAGGAGGCTTATTGTCCCAGTCTATGTGGGAGCCCACGGCATTTCCAATGGCTCGGCTAGCTGAAAACCTGCCCATTTTTACAATAAAGTTCGGGAGGGAAAAAAAATCACTGTTCTTCCCAGAGGCCAACTTGGAGAGGAAAAGTGGGGAGTCAAATTCTCAAAGACCTGCCATTCAGGAGACTAATGTTTCCATTATTGGCTGGGGCCCCGGGCTGCTTCCCAGGTCATCAGGAAGGCTGAACACTTTCTCTGTTCATCTGGGGGTCATGAGAACAAATGCGCAGCTTTGATACCCATGGAAGTGAGTTAATCCACAGGAGACAAATATTTGACGCCCATGAACTATAGAGCAGTATCAGAGTTGACAGCCCCTTCTTTGACAAAGGGTCTTGCTGGAGATAAGCTCAAAGGACTGGAGCATAGGCTTCGCTGCCCGGACCGCTGGCTTCACTCCCTGGCACCACACGATCCTCGAAGCATGTCTCTGTGTGCTCCAGAGCACTGTGCCAGACAGCCCAAAAAATGAAATCTTAATTACACAGCACTGTAGCACTGTAGCACTGTCCTCCTGTTGTTCATTGATTTGCTCGAGTGGGTACCAGTAACATCTTTTTTGCGAGACTGGTTGTTACTGTGTTTGGCATATCGAATATGTCACAGGTAGCTTGCCAGGCTTTGCTGTGCAGGCGGGATACTCTAGGTAGCTTGCTGGGCTCTCCAAGAGAAGCAAAAAATTCTTATCAAATTCTCCTTTGTAAGAAAATTAAAAAAAATTCTTTTTGATGATAAATCAACAAAATACAAGTTCACTTGGAATTTGGTGAGCTGGGGGAAGAAAAGACAATGCACCTCAGTGGGGCTCTGAGCCCGGCTCGCATCTTCATTCCACTGGGAAGTCGCTCTCCTCAGGTCTACTCTGGCACTCCTACTAGACTAGACTTGATCCTGGCTGCTCTGGTTCAGATGCTTTTGTTTGGCCACCCTCTGGGACCCCCTTCCCCTCCCTCAGCCATAGTCCCTTTATTCCCCACCATAACTACAACGAATTTTGGGTTCATCCCAGAAGATAACAGATGAGCACAGCAGATTTCGGTTCTAGAAGAGTATCCATCAGCCAGGTGTCAAGCTGAATAAAGAGAACAAATGGGTCGGTCCATCAGTGCCAACCTTCTCTGCATTCTGTGTAGGTACTGTAGTTGACAGATAGAGGTTTCACTAAAATAACTTTTCATCTGTCTGGGAGAGTGGCTAATGTGACCAGGCATAATAGCTTTGCAAGAGTTTTGTAAAACTGCTCCAGTTTCTTGACCTTCCAAGTGGAAACTATTTGTTTATTTGAAAAGTTCTTTAAAGTTGGAAATCGCTTGTATCATACAAAGCATAAGGGCCAAAGCGGCTCACATTCCCTGCGCTCCCCTATAAAGCATGTTGGACACAGAGTGTACTTTGATTTCAGTAAAAATCTGACAAAATCTTTGATAAGATCCTTCTACCCAACGGGCAGTTCCAAGGTCTAGAAAAAGTACTGAGAGTGGGATTTACAGTCGAACAACTAAATTTCAAAAGTATTGATTAATGGATAGTTGTCAACCTTGAGGGCAGATTCTCTTCCTGATTCTGGTTCTGTCTGACATATAAAGACTACACCTCCCAACCCCCCAGACTCAATCGAGACAGTCTGGATCGAGACCCAGGAGGAACGATTATCAAAGCAACAAATGACAAGCTTGGAGAGGGCTCATGTGCAGATGAGAGAATTTGGTGTTTTTTGTTGTTGTTGTTGTTGTTGCTGTTGTTTTTTTTTAAGGTAAGTATGGGTTCAAAGAAAGTGAAGGAGGGGAATAAGAGGGTAAAAGGGAGTGGGGAAGAAAAGAGAGAAGTGGGGGGGGGGGAATCCCACAAAGGACATGAAAGAAACAGGGATAGATGAGAATACCATACACTTGATTCAATAATAATAAAGCTCTCACACACAGGACTGTATTGCAGATCTTTGGAAACAGCCATGGTTTCCAAGGTCCCAGCCAGTCTGAGCCCTCCTGGAAGGTCTTAAGAGGACTGCATGGAGGCCTACTTCCTGGGGGCTGTCATCAGGCCACCAGTAGGCTGAGCTCTGAACACCTGCACTTTTAGGGCACAGGCTATAAGGGCCAGGACTGAGCACACAGACCCTGAAGGCTAGGGTGAGGCATTTCCAGTCACTTTTTTTTTTAAAAAAAACAAAGCAAAAGTGGCGGCACCTCAAAGGAAATGCCCTGATTCCAGAAGTTGGAAGAACCAGGCTCTACTTGTTAATGTCCTCATGAGGGAGAGAGCCCCAGTGCTCCAGGTGAGGCCTGAGACATCCCTGTGTATCCTACAGTGCTATTGGATTTTGTGACTTTAAGAAAGGCTGGTTCAGTCATTGGCAGTGGAGCACAGGACAGTGCATCCTGCAGCTCAGTGCTGTATTAGAGAATCATGGGTAGACGGAGATTGTATCAAGGAGGAACTTTTCTAAGTTATTTGTTTGGCTTGCTCGGTAGCAAGATCTTCATAAAACTGTTTAGTAGAACCAGAGATACTGGGGTCAATTTATGAGAGAGCATAGGCAATTCCTCACCAAGGAAGAGTTTTGGAAGACTATGCTCCAAGATTGTAATCTTAAAATTCAACAAAATTCTATAATTATGATGAGTATAAGAAAATTATAAACCTATGAAACTTAAGAGTGTGCAATATAGTGATGTATTGACTATGTAGGAAGAATTTACAGAGCAAGTTTTGTAAATTTAACACTCAGATCTTGGCTTGCAGAACATTTTTTAACATGGCATTTCATGTCTAATGAGGTCCTCCCTTCATTTACCTGTTAATTATTCTTCTATGGACAATTTTTAAGATTATAATTCGCTCTGCACAGTCTTTTAGGAACTCTGACATTCGCTGTTTTAAAACTGGTTTCATTTCATGTTTTGCAATTGCCTTGAGGTGATCCCATGAAGCTTTGCATCTTCTCTCCATCTGACATAAATTATCCTGAAGTTGATCAAAGTCGACCTGAAAATCAGAGAGAGAACATTGCAAATGCACTGAAACCGCCGGACAGCGACCTGAACCAGGAAACCCAATTGCCTCTGGCAAGAAACAAACATCAAAATCAAATTTACATCTTGAAATACAAACATATTTATAGCCTAAAAATGATCCACATGTGTATTTTTTATTATCTAGACATCAAATTATTTAGTGATAAAACTGTTCTCCAAGTGAACCCAATACAAGTGTCACCTCTTTTTGTGTGCCATATTTGGAGAGAAATCTTAGGAAAGTCTTTGGGAACTGTAAATTCAAACATGATATCAAGGAACACTGGTACAAGATGAACTGAACAGATGTCTCATAAATTCTTCCAGAGCCCTTTTGTTCCCCAGAGATATTTCACTTAAGGTCAGAGGAACATACCGTAGTCCTTCACGGACGGTTTAGATGTGTGGGGGCAGTTCAGGGGCGGCCATCACTGTGATCTCTTTTAAACTGTATGAGAAATCACTTTATTTCTCTGCCTACTCACTCTTTCAACCAACACTCATGGAAGTATGCCAATCCCTCATACTGTATTCTAAGATGGTAAAGGCAAATGTCAAATGATGCCAAGTTGCTTTTCTCAAGAAGGTTGGGGAGCCAGAGGGTTAGTAAAGGAGTTAAGATATACACCCTGCAGGTGGGTGACACCGTTTGATCCCCCAACTTAGAGCTAGAGGATTCCCCAAATATATGTATGTCACCATGAAGCACCCCATGTCTACCCCTTGAGGCCCACTAGGTGTCTAAGGTAATCCCCAACACTGCAACACTGCAGGGCCTACACATTTGGGGATCTCTGGATATTTGTTTGTTTGCTTAAATTTTTGCTTGTTTTGGAGCCACACCTGGTAATGCTCAGGTATTACTCCTGGCTCTGCACTCAGGAATTATTTCTGGCAGCTAGGGATGCCGGGGATCAAACCCAGGTCAGCTGTGTGCAAAGCAAGCATTCTACCTGCTATACTATGTATCTGGCCTCGGGCCTGGGTGAACACCTCCAGGCCTCTGAACATAAGATGGCTCACTGTAGAAACTAGTGATTGTATGCACTGAAGATATATGATCCCACCCAATCCCTCCATCCCCCAGCCCCTATGTTATCTAGAAGGTGAGTCAACATTACTTAGATGACTGTGGGCTAAGAGCAGAATATGTACATGAGGGCCCTGAAGAACTTGCTGGCATGGCTGCAGATACATTTCCAACCTCGAAAAGTCCAGGGAGATGATTAAGTCATTTCAGGAGGGGATCTGTCACCAGATAAGACAAAGACCCACTGAGCACAGGGGATACCCTGGGGGGCAAGCAAGACGGTGCATGTCCTTGGTTTCTTGGGTACGAAAGAGCCAAAACCAGAAGGCAAGTTTAGGCAGAGTCCTGGCATTTGGGTAACCAGGGAGTTTGTGGAACTTTGAACATAATCCGAGAAATCCTGTATTCTAATTAGTGAAGACTTCACTTTACTGTATCACAGTGGAACAGAAAAAAAAATACCTGGAATTCAGCCAAACAGATAAGAAATTTATATTTAGAGAGGAAAGACTACGCTGTTAGAAGAATAAGTCCAAAAAAGGCTCCAGATGACCTGAAATTGATAAGTAATATCTAAGAGATCAAGGAGGTTTGGAGCCAATCGTGATAGGTCTAAGCATGACTTTCTAGACTGGTTCTCATCTGCATCTGCAGTGGCCTTATTCCATGGAAATTTTAATGTCTTAATAACTTTAATAATTTCAGTTAAGTTCAGACATGCATTGAGTTAGCTCTATGCAGTCGAACCCAACAATGCTTGGCCCACACCATGGTGGGTTCAGAATGGGCAGGGGAGACAGTGTGAGAGATGCTTCCTGATTTTCCCTTTCAGAGAAAAGACTCTGCTGTAATCTATTAAGGTGGTGGCAGAAAAAAGTAACCTTGCGGCCAATAAGTGCCAAGCGAGGTTTTGAATAAAAAGCAATTCAAAGGACGAGCTTAACGTGGCATCTTATGGGCATGGGTGGAAGTCAGTCACAACTGGTACATTGGATCTGATCCTTCCCAATAACCCCATGACCTCAGGTTCTGTTTTTAATAACATTTCAGAGATGAGGAACTGACACACAGAGAGGTTAAGTTACTTATGGACAGCTGGTCCCAGGAGGACCTGGGACCAAACCTAATCTCCTAATGGCAGAATCTAGGTTACTGATCATCTTGTATCATGGGTCTGTCATATTGGCTCCTAACAAATCCTGGGGGTGGGGGAGTCCTTGTTGTCAGAAGGGAGCACTCTCCAGGAATAGCTTTCTGAAGAACTGCTGCATATGGGTCCCAGCGTGTGTGTAGAAAGACAAAGGGCTGGGCTGTGAAGCAAAGTCAAGTCTTATCAGTTCAGCCTGGGAAGCTGTGAACCACTCAGGGATGGTTGCAGAAGGGAGGCTGCATGGAAAACACACATAGTGGGTGATGTGGTGTTACTTTCCAAATGTGCTCCACAGTTCTTGACACAACCCTTCAAAACACAAAGCTCAGTACCTCTCACGTTAGCATGAGCTGGCCTGAATTACTGGGGAACCTAAATTCCCAGGGCATAGAGTGAAAGTGTGGGAGGCTTTGGAAATAAGACTAAGATGACGGGGCCTTAGGAAGTCAGGCTTGATCTCCTGGAGTTAGTCCAGCTGAAACTGGCCTCTGAGAAGTGGGTGTGGGATCCAAAACTAGAGGACCTCAAGTTGGGACAGCCATAGGGGTTTCTGGGTCTTGATTAGGACAGTATTTGGATATCTGTCAAGACTTTAGAAAGATTTGGACAGAGAAAACATAGTAAGAGTGAAACAGCAGAGTCAATGTTTGGAAACACCCTGGTCATTTTCAAATCTGGGGATGGTTGTGGGATGGGGGGGAGGGGCACTGGCTATGCCGATTTCTATTCTATAACAGGTCCACTGTTGAAGCAGCTCAAGGCCACTGCTCAGGGAACCTTGCACTTGCTGCATGCTGCTCCTGAGGCAGTCAAAGGAGCATCCTACCCCAGATCCCTGCATGAAGGCAGAGAGAGAGGCAGAGCTCTTTCAAGGAGACCTCAGCCAGGCCCCTTCCTCACTGCCTTCTCTCTCCTCTTCTCAGATACTTGAAAGCATCCCAAGGTTATGGATCATTCTGGGTTCAAAGGTAGCCTGGGTTGGGTTTCCAGGAGTTTCCTCTGCCTTGGATAGAACTAGTATCCAACTGAGATTTTACTCTTACTTCTGTGATCTTTGTCTCTCCTAGCACAGCTGGGATTTCTCTGGGCTGGCCTAGTCCTATTCATGCTTTTTCTGTGAGAACAGTGCTTTTGCTCCCTTTTCTAAGAAAGCATAGGCTCCCAGATGCTTACAACTCCACATGAAATTGAAGACCCTGCAGTAGAAGGCACAATGCTATATATGGGTTGCTCCCCAGGCCCCAAACTTCTCTCACTAAGATCACAGGGATGGCCAATCTATGGGAGCAGGAGCCAGGGGTGATGTAAGGCCCTATGTCTTATATACAAACTGCACTTTTTTTTGGCATTCTTGCCCACCTAAAACAAGCTGGGAAGCTTGAATGCTTGGGAGATTCCAGCCTGATGAGTAACGGTGGATGCAGGGGTTAGCACTGCCATGGCAAGCTTGCCTTTATAGCTCAGTAGGAAAGAATCTGACAAAAGACCAGGGATGGGAAAATGATTTTAAAAGTCCATTGGAAATAACACGAGACAAGTCATCCTCACAAACCCTGGGGCAGGGGTGGCAACAGCCCATGGGCGTTTTACTTAAGAGAATGTTTTTCAGAGACGGTTGGTAAAGATCCAGCATCTGAGGGCAAGCACAGCCTGCTTCTCCATGCCCCAGCATACCTTGGCTGACCTGGTCACGGCCCCGATCTCTGAGTACAAATCAGAGCTGTCTGGAAAATTCTCCACCACCATGGTGCACACGTGATGGAGAAGAGACTGCTTGTGCACGGTATCTTTGACTTCTGGAACCTTCTCGAGGTAGCTTAATTCAAATGCTTTGGCCTGTCAGAAGAATATTAAATGAAAAAAAGAGATCAGGAATAGCAAGTCTCATGCAGGCTCACAGAAAAAGGCACAGATGGCTACAAATCAACGACTGGTGGGAATTTAGCTCACTATTTAGTTCCTCTGTGAATCAGCCTTCTCTGGTCACATACTGCATCATCCCTGGCTGATCACATGGGACCCATCCACATAAAATGAGCTTCCAGCCCCTTCCCACCATGGCCATCAGCCGCGAGTTGTCCCAGGACTCTGCCCTCAGTGAGATGACTGTAGGGCTGGCTCTCTAGAATTGGGCATCAGTGTTTTTGTCCCATGCAATGTTCTTCTACCTAAAAGCCAAAGAGGCCTAATTTTTAAAAAGTTGTTTATAAAGTATAATTATATTTGAGTGATATTGAGTGATAAGGTCAGAACACACACAGAGTAGAAGTAAACATTTCCGATGTTAATTCTGAGAGTAGCAAAGCTTTGTAAGGAATAGTGTAATTATTTTTCTAAGCTTTTAAAACTTATTTATAGTAAGATACAGTTTTTAATAAATAGGCTCTAATATCTTAGGAACAAAAACTCCTAGATTTTCAGCAGGAATGTACAAAGGGTTTTTGTTCAGTTGTACATTAGGGAGCTAGAGGTCCCACCTCTGTCAGCAAATGAAAGGCAGGGATTTTGTGACAAAGGAGGCAGAAGAATAAGGGGTGTAAAAGACTTACATTAGTTCCATTTAGAAAGTTCCCAATGGCCAAGAGAGTAGACAGGATAAAGCCCAAGGTTTTATTGTTCTCCAATTGGTCTATTCCTTCTTTCAGGTCCAAAAGAGGTTCTGCCACTTCCTTTCAATTAAAACAACAACAACAATGAGAAAATAATAGAAAGTGCATGTTCTGGCATTTGTTCTTTTTCATTCTGTACTCAGCAATAACAGTGGTTGCACTCCCCAGGATGAGACAATGTCTTATGAGGGATGCAGGCTTCTAGGTATGGAGAAGAGCCCAACTGCTGCAGGAAATAGTCCCCAAAGTGTCCCCAGTGGGGGCTGAGTGGTACCTGTATCCAGCAGAGGTTACAAATGTGCTGTCTTCCCCTGTTCCTGCCCAAACTCTCAAGCTTGGTCAAAGAGGACCTTTAGGTGACACCCTTCTTTCATTCACTCTTCAGACCATAACTGACTTCTTTAATGTCAGCATCTAAACCACAACCTTTCTCTTTACTTTTCTTATTAATGACAAAAGAAACTGTGACCTCACTGTCCTGATATCTGGCCCTGACTCCAGATACTCTGTGGCAGTCTGCCTGGGACTTGGGTTACTTTCTAGATGGCCACAGTCCTCATTTCTCTCACTGTCTTCTTAACATTTATCCTTGGGCGTCTGTCCTGTCGCTACTCTCACAGCCTCAGTCTCTCTTCCCTCTATGCTGTTATTCTGCGACAACCCCACTCATTCATCCTTATTGAGCCTCTCACAGAGCAAATATCCCAGAGCCAGAGGTTCAGCCGCATTCTTGACAGCTCTCTACAGCACAGTTTCTGTCAGGCTAATCTGCTAATTCTCCAAGGTAGACCAGGTAGTTGGGTCTACTTGGGAATCACATTACTTTGCTAGAGGAAATCACCTAAACATGTTAGCCAGTTTTGCAACCACGTCATGCCAAGTAACCTTAGCAGTCATTAATTTGCTTGAGCTCGAGCGGGCCCAGTAACGTCTCCATTGGAGACTTTGTTGTTACTGTGTTTGGCATATCGAATACTCTCGGTAGCTTGCCGGGCTCTCTGAGAGGGGCGGAGGAATCAAACTCGGGTCGGCCATGTTGGCCGCTTGTAAGGCGAACGCCCTACCCGCTGTGATATCGCATGGATTAATCCAGGTTTGATTTCTGAGTGAATCCAAATATAACGGTCCCCTCCCCAAACCCCATTGCCACCTAGCTTGCCCTCAATATGGACCCTGGCTGCCCCCTGTGTAGGAGGATAGAAATCACAGAGTGTCTCCATCTGCACTTGGAATCTGTCTCCTCGGGGCACTTCCTCTCAATTTATCTCACTTTCAGCTCACCTTCCATCCTTCCATCCGTCTGTTTTCCTCTCCACTGTTTTTTCCCTACTGAGTTCAAAAGATACCTGCATTGACCTAGTCCAGAGAGGATACCCGCTTCTTCCATCCTCAACTCAAGACGAGTCTACCCATGCCTTCATTCTTACGCACATTTTCCTCCTAGTCTCCTTACATCCTCTTGCAATCTGTTTCATCTTCAATTTTCCACTGAAATACTTTCTTGAAGGAACCACTGGGTCCCTACTAACTGCTACAGTGCCACTTTAGATGATTAATGTTATAAGGATGATTACAAGCAACTTTCTCCACGGTGTTTTATTTTCCATATTATACCACAAGAAGCATAAAGAATCAGAAAAAAATTATTTTAAAACAGTGATCTGATTTGCCTAAGCCTGTGACCAGGCAGACACATTAGAATAGCCTCTCATTGGTAGACTGCTGATGACAGCATAGACCAGCGGATTTCACTCTTTTCACACCAGTGGCCTAGTACTGGGTCCATGGGCTGGGAATTGAAAACCACTAGGATAAACACAAATCCATCCGATGACTTTGCTTCTAATCCTACCTCAAAAATGATACTTCCTACTCCTGCCAATAAAAATCTGTTTTTTTCAACAATGAGGGTGTGGGAGGGACTCCCTTCATAGAGTCAAGATGAGCCTTACCTTTTCTGTCGTTTCATAGTCCATTTTGAATGCCCAGAGGTGAAGACGAGCAGAGAGTTCACTGATAGAGGAGAGAGTGAGGAGGAATTGCTCTGCACTGCCCAGTGGGACGTCAGGATTCGCCAGCTGGGCTTCTTGGATTTTTTGCTTCTCTTCTTCAGTGGGAATCATGGTTAGAATTTTCTGGAAAGATGGGGCAATATAATAATTTTCTCTTTTACTGACAGGACCTACTACACTCCATTCAATGTTTTCAAATTCATACTGCAATTTTCCAACCAGGTAGAAAAGATAAATTGTTGTCAGAATTGTTATTATAGATATGGATGTTTTTATCATTAATAACCAAAGACACATTAGACAAGAACTTGCTAGGTAGCATCTAATTGTCATTCACTAATTTTAAAATTCTCGCTCCTTTAATCTTCTATCACAAGCAAATTATCCAACATTTTCAGGAACTTAAACATGATGAACACTCGAAGCAATAAATTGGGATGGGAGGTAAGAGAAAAATGAATGAATCAAAGAGAAGAACACTCTGTTCCTTCGGAATTAGAATAAATTGTCAAAAATATAGAATCAGTGATTCTCATGAATTAATTTCACAGCTTATGGAAATGACTCATTTTTCAAAGAACTTAGATTGATTTCTGTACTTGGAACATTTACTTGCAAGTAATTGGTTTTAAATGTTTAACTATATTTAAATATATTGCATTAAATAATACTAAATTCAATTAAGACTGAGGGGAAGAAAAAACCATGTTGGTGCTTATAAAGAGCAATACTGGATCAGGGAGATAGTGCACATGGTAGACACATGTTTGGAATGTGCAAGTCCCAGAGTCTGATCCCTGGCACTCCATGCACTCTGGGTACCATCTGGTACCGCCCTTGTAGCCCACAGCTACAGCTCCATATGGCCTCAATGGAAAAAAAAATGAACAGTACCTTACCACTAATGGGAAAAGCATATCATTTGGGTTTTTATTTGCCTCTGAGAAATAGTAGTGACAAAAAAAAAAACCTACCAGAAGAATTCTGATCCTTCAAGCTATAAATCTTATGTAAATTCCTTAATAATTTCTTTTAAAATGAAGGTAAAATACTGCTATTATGGACACCTAACACACATTATTAAAGGCCAGGAGTCATTATTTCCCTCCCATTTCTGCTCTATTAGCAAATCAAAGATACTAAACATACTTTAGTGCCATACTTTTTGACAACTTGTGAAAATTCATTAGTTCTATGTAAATTCTTTAGGTTGGATGGGGCTTTATAAAAGCAAGCAAATGAATAAAGATAGGGGTGGAGTTCCATTTCTGGGTGACGCTCCCAGGAGGCACACTCTTTCATGCTCATTTCCAGAGTGCAACCATAAACCCTGCACAGCAAGAGTGGTGCTGTCTTCTGAAAATTCTAATAAGCAAACATGGATAGGTAAGGGAAGATTAGAACTGAAAAGTCTATGGGACAGGCAGTATGGTGAACTTGTTTCCACTGGGTCTAAGACTGTCTGAAGTGTGGAAGAGAGTGTCAAGTGCAGACGGTGTGCCAAGGGAGCACTACAGTTCCGAGATGGAGCGAGGGGCCCCCTCTCACTAGAGCAGTGGTAGCAGGCCTCTCCCGTGGCTGATGCTACCATCACAACAGGGTTCTGCAAGCCCCGACTGCCCTTCCTTTAGGTCTTCACTCAGTCAGGCCCACACAAAGGTCTAATCACTGAAAGTGCTTGGCACAGTGAGGCAACTGAAGCCCTAGCTGACAGCTGGAGGTTCAGAGAGGAAGGGAATTGGAAAGTCCTGGAAAGGTCATGGAAAATGAGTGCCTGGCAAAGCAAACGCATAAAGTTGCTTAAGAATTCCTGGATTCATCCCTGGATTCAGGCATGAAGTTGACCTTCAAGAAAACATCAAAGACTTGGAGATCTGAACTAGTGAGTTGCTGGTGCCCACTTTGAAAGCTGAGTAGAAAACTGGAAACGGAGCACAGAAGGCAGGTCAGAACCTGTGGCTGTAGCCCAACACACGAGGGAATGAATCTTAATTAATGGAGATTCATTGATTAATTAATCTCAACCAGGAGAACAGAATTTCCCAATACAAAAACTAGACAAAGATGCAAAAATCCTTAACAAGATATTTTCAATATATCGAGGTCAGACATATATAAAATACAGCAACATATTTTAAAAACTAACCAGTTCTGGTTCAATACCAAAATTAGTCAGTGCATTTATCTACAGCCTAAGGCAGAAAGCCTGATCATTTCAATTAATATAAAAATGAGTACAATTCAATATCTCTTCAAGACAAAAGAACTCAGCAAGCCAGTGAGAGAAGGAATTTCCTCCATCTGATAAACTGCATCTGTATAGAACCTATAGCTCACACCACAATGAATGTGACAGACTGAATGTTTTAACCTCTCAGACTGGGAACAAGGCAGGACTTTTAGTTTATCCATTCCTTTTAAGTCTTGCACAGAAATCCTAGCCAGGCGTATAACATTTCAAAACTACACTTCAGAAAGAAAAAAATGATCCAATTTCAGGTGTTGTGACTATATGTTTAGAAAAATACAAGGCATCTATAGGTTCTACATAACAGAGTTTATCAGTGTTGCATGATACAAAGCCATTCATACAAAAGTCCATTTTACCCACATCCACAAGAACAAAAGCAACCAGTGTTGGTGCAGATGTGGTGAGAAAGGGACTCTCCTTCACTGCTGGTGGGAATGCTGACTGGTTCAGCTCCTTTGGAAAAGAGTATGGATGATTCTCAAAAAATTAGAAATTGAGTTACCATTTGACCCTGGGAATACCACCCTCCCAATACCACTCCTGGGAATATATCCCGGAGAGGCAAAAAAGTACAGTCGAAATGACATCTGCACATCTATGTTCATTGCTGCACAGTTCACCATAGCCCAAATCTGGAAAAAAAAACCCGAGTACCCGAGAACAGATGACTGGTTAAAGAAACTTTGGTCCATCTACACAATGGAATACTATGCAGCTGTTAGAAAAGATTAAGTCATGAAATTTACAAGTGGTACTACATGGAAAGTATCATGCTAAGTGAAATGAGTCAGAAAGAGAGGGACAGACATAGAAAGATTGCATTCATCTGGGGAATATAAAGTAACAAAACAGGAGACTAACACCCAAGAATAGCCGAGATAAGTACCAGGAGGTTCACTCCATGGCTTGGAGGCCAGCTGCAGATGCTAGGGGAAAAGGCAGCTCAGATAGAGAAGGGAGCACCAAGTAAAGGGTGTTGGGAGGATCCTCCCAGGATGAGATGCATACTTAAAGTAGACTACAGACCAAACAATATGATTGTCACTCAATGCCTCTTTCGCAAACTATAGCACCCAAAAGGAGATAGAGAACAAAAGAGAATGTCCTATCACAGAGGTGGGGTGGGATGGGGAGATGGGTAGTGGGAGTGATACTGGAATCATTGGTGGTGGGGAATGGGCACTGGTGGAGGGATGGGTACTTGATCATTGTATAACTGAAACCCAAGCACAAAAAGTTGTAAGTCTACAACTGTACCTCATGGTGTTTCACTAAAAAAATTTTTAAAAAGTCCATTTTATATCTCTATATTGATAATGAGTACCAAACTAAACTTTAAACATTTTATGATAAAATAATTATTATAAATCTAAGCAAACTAAACACTGTAAAGTAGAAATGTTGATGGATGCAACAAAGAACTACATAAACGGGGTGCTGTACTGAGTTTTTAAATTAAAATACCCAACAGGACCAGTCACTTAACTTCAAAACTGATCTGCAAGTTTAACCCAATTCTAAGCAGAACATTAAGACAAACTTTGTGGGATATAGCCAAGTATTTGGCAAGGTAGATGAACCATAACAGCCAAAATTATTTTGAAAACAATAATCTTGAAAAAGTTACATCAACTGACTTTAAATTTTATTATAAAACTATACTGGTGTTATGGAGTAGTACAGTGGTTAGGGGTTAGACCCCAGTTCTATTCTCAGCAACACATCGTCCCCCAACATTGCTGTCTGTAGCTCAGGAGGCCCCAATACACCACAGTAGTGACCCCTAATCACCAGTGGGATGACCAGATGGTCTTTACCAACACAGGGCACAGTCAGTACTTCTCCCAATCCACAGCTGACCCAGTTGCCAAGAATCACATGTAGATCCCCCCACTTAACACAGAGAGGGAGTCTCTATAAAAAGAAAATTGTAGTAATAAAACCGAATATCTATCCTGAGCAACTTAGGGATAGACTTATGGAGCAGTGGGACAAAGTCAGTTCAACAACTTTACACAAAAACAACATATTGGTTTTGACAAAGTTACAAATGTAGTTCATCGCAGAAAAATCAGTCTCTCTCCCCAAACTGCATTAGAACAACAGAAATTCAACCTGCAACAAATACTACTTTAAAATGTTCCATCTATATAAATAACTCAAAAGGGACTTAGATCTAAAAGCAAAAGGAAACACACAATGTTTGGAAGGAAACAGAGGTATCTTTCTGACCCAGAATGCATAATGAATTCTTATACATGATACCTAAAAGAATACTATAATGAATTAGAATAAATAGTATATTCATCACATAATTGTCACACCTTTTTTAAAAAAGTGCTACTGGCACACCATTTTAAAAACAGCTTTCTGGCAAAAAAAAATGGCACAAGATCTGCAATGATTATGTGGTAAAATGTGGCCAGCTGAGTAAATCAAAGCTAATCCAAGTTAAAACTTTCTGCTAACACTGTTAAGAGAATGAAAAGACAAGTCATAGGTAAAACCAAGCTACTGTCTGACCCAGAAATTCCATTTGCAAGTATATTACTGCACTATACTACACTGTCCTCCAGTTGTTCATCAATTTGCTTGAACAGGCATCAGTAACATGTCACAACAAATTGTGAGACTTGTTGTTATTGTTTTTGGCTTATTGAATACATCACGGGTAGCTTGCCAGACTTTGCCCTGTGGGCAGGATACTCTTTATAGAAAGCCAGGCTTTCCAAGAGGGACGGAGGACTCAAACCCGGGTCAGCCACGTGCAAGGCAAACACCCTACCCGCTACTCCAGTCCTTGCTATTGCTTGTTTGGCCAAAACCTTGTAAATGAATACTTGTGAAGCTTTATTCATAATTACTAAAATAT